TAAAATAAAATAAAATAAAATAAAATAAAATAAAATAAAATAAAATAAAATAAAATAAATAAATAAATAAATAAATAAATAAATAAATAAATAAATAAATAAATAAATAAATAAAATAGTGGACTCCTGCTCCTATCATTCCTCACCGTTGGCCATGCAGGTGAGAGCCGATGGGTGTTGAAAAACAGCTGGACAGTCTCGTCCTCCCCTATAAGGAGAGTTGAACATCAGTGCCTTTTACCCTGTAATCTAATATTAACACTGAAAGTGCAGAAATGTGTATACATCACAACAGTGTATATGCACACGATGACACGTCTGGGGATGATGGCACTTGTAGCTGACACCTTTGGTTTGGACAGCTATCATGCAATAGTACTAATTAGGGGTAGATCATTGACATGCGGTGCATGACAGGTGCCCCAAATCTGGGGTGGCTCTGGAAATCACTTCTCTGAATAGAATGTCTAGGCCAGACTTTTCCCATCCAATATTATCTGGATGCATGGACTACCATGTCCATCATCTCCAGAGGACATGAGCTGGTCTAGACTGAAATTTCTTCTCCTCCAGGGAAGCCACACTCCTCACTGTGTAGCCTTGGGGGGGGAGGGTGTCTCTTAAAAACATCTCACCTCATTGTTCCTCCAGTATCCAGCTTCTTTCCGTAACTTCGGAAAGGGACTCAATTTGTGGGAAGGTGATTAGAATACAGGGCGAGGAAATTAAATCAATACAAAAACATCCCGAGAGAAAAAGAGACACAAACACGCACACGCCAGTGTCAGCCGGGGCCAAATCTATATTACAACACAGAACAGGATGTTATCTGAATGTTCTCAGCTTCCTGCTTCTCAGAAAGAAAGTGTGTCTGAGGGAGGGGGCAGAGTTTACCCCCCCAGACAGCAAGGAACATCAATGGACCAGGAGCCTCCCCCCTCATTGTCTAGATACCTGGATAGCTCACGAAGTCCTTCCCATTAGTGCCCTTTGGCCACACAGCAGAGGAGATTCTGAGCCTGGCCCGGTCATGAGGGGTACCAGCAAAGAGCCCAACTAGCTCCACGTGAGTTTACTTGAGAGGAGGAGGAACTCATGCCAACAGCTGGCCTGATCAGGCCCTGGAAAAGCCCCAGGAAGAGGTGGTGCCTTCAGATCCTATCTAAGCTCTGAAGCTGAGCCAGGAAACCCTTTGTTGTTGTTGTTTAGTCGTTCAGTCGTGTCCGACTCTTCATGACCCCATGGACCAGCACATGCCAGGCCCTCCTATCTTCCACTGCCTCCCAGAGGTGGGTCAAATTCATGTTGGCTGCTTCGATGACACTATCTAACCATCTTGTCCTCTGTTTTCCCCTTCTCCTCTTGCCTTCACACTTTCCCAACATCAGGATCTTTTCCAGGGAGTCTTCTCATGAGATGGCCAAAGTATTGGAGCCTCAACTTTAGGATCTGTCCTTCCAGTTAATGTGTGTGTGTTTAGTCGTTTAGTCGTGTCCGACTCTTCGTGACCCCATGGACCAGAGCACGCCAGGCCCTCCTGTCTTCTACTGCCTCCCGGAGTTGTGTCAGGTTCATGTTGGTTGCTTCGCAGACACTGTCCCGCCATCTCATCCTCGGTCGTCCCCTTCTCCTCTTGCCATCACATTTCCTCTTGCCATCCAGTTAATACTCAGGGTTTATTTCCTTCAGAATGGATAGATCTGTTCTCCTTGCAGTCCAGGGGACTCTCAAGAGCCTCCTCCAGCACCAGAATTCAAAAGCATCAATTCTTCAGCCGTCAGCTTTCTTTATGGTCCAGCTCTCACTTCCCTTGGGGTGGTCAAGGGGAAACCCACTCCAAAAGGTGGTCCATGGCATTTTCCCAGCTGGGGGAAAGAGGCCAACAGCCACTCCCATATGGATAATGCTTTCTATTACTGTTCTACAGTACGGTATCCACGGGCGACCAGTTTCAAGCCGCTGCCTGCCTCAGATGCTGGGAAAATGCCGAAGTCTTGAACTCTATACATGGCGTGATCTCTGGATCGCTCTAAATAAATAAGTAAATAAGTCTACATCCCTCATTCTGTGCACCACGTAGTCCTCCCACTGTCTGCCGTGATGGGAAACACTCTGATGTCATCAGTGCGGAAGTATTCAACTACCAGCTTCTAATAACTGCCTGT